TTTAAGCGCGGCGGAGGGGCGGGGCCGCGCACACGCCCCCCGGCCTTAAAGGGGCCGCGCCGGCAGGGACGGCGCCCCAGACCTGCTGGAGCCGGTGTCCACAGCGCCCGAGGGCCTGGCCTCCCTCCACCCCCACAAACGCTGAGCTCAGAGCCGGGCCCAGCACGGGACACACCTGAGGAGGAAGAGCCGGGGCTGCGGGTCAGTCCTCAGGCCAGGAGAGGGCACATCTTCCTGCCAGATCTAGAAAGAAAAGCACCAAGTCCAGGGCAGGGGAGAGATGGCCCCTGGGGGCAGAGGAGCTGCTCACCCACCTGCTGTCTCTCCCAGGCTACTCCCGAGACCCCAAGGGAAGCTTCGGCCCTGGGGACCCTGGGCAGGGCTGTAGGACAATGGCCTTCCCTCCCCAGCTGCCCAAAGACCCAGGCCTGTGACCCTGAGAGGAGAGACGGGGCTGGTGAGCACTGTGGAGAGGGCCTGCCCTGTCCTCGGCCCATTCTGCACCCAGGGAGTCAAGGCCTGAGCACCTCTCTGGGGAAGAGCTGTTCCCGGGCCAATCTGACCCACACGGTGCCGGTCCCTCCCCGACTAGCACGGGAGGAAGCAGCAGGCCTCCAAGGCCGGCATGGTGCCGTGTGGCCTGGCCTTTCCCAGCTCTTCATCTGCCTGGGAGGCAGGATGCCATGATGGGAGCCTGTGGCTGGAGGGCATATGCCCCAAAGGATGGCGTCTGAGGGCTGGGGAAGGAGTTGACGAGAAAGGGAGAGAAGGGGCGTGTTGGGCCCTGGTGATCTGGTCCGGTGGATAGATCCATGTGGAAAGGTGCCCCCTGCCTGTCAAGCACACACACACCTTCCACCCAGTGTGATCTAAGTGAAGTGTGTGTAGGGGGTGCCTGCGCTGAGCGTGAGGCACTGGCAGCACGCAAGACGCTCTGAGTTTAGTCAGCATCACACACACACACACACTCACACCAGGCTGGGCACACAGCTGTAATCCCAGCACTTGAAGAAAGGCAGATTGTGCCTTTGTTTGGGCTACATAGTTATCCTAGCTTTAAAAATACAGCATCAAGCCCGATGCGGCCAGTGGCTCACGCCTGTAACGCTAGCTACTCAGAAGGCTGGGATTTGAGGATGAAGGTTCAAAGCCGGCCCGGGCAGCAAAGTCCCTGAGACTCCTATCTCCAATAAACCAGTCAGAAAACCACAAGTGGCGCTGTGGCTCCAAGGGCAGAGTGCTGGCCTTGAGCTGGAGCTGAGGGACAGCGCCCAGGCCCAGAGTTCAGACCCACGACCGACCAAAAAATAAATTAATAAAAATTCAAAAATAAAACACCGGGGAGGGGAGGGGAGGGGGCCAAACTCCGCCCAGGGCTGACACGATTCCAACCGCAGCAACCTCAGCACCGACGGCGGCGCCGGGCCGGGCTCAGGGCCCCGGTGCCGGGCTCAGGCTGGGCCCGCGGCGGCCAGCGTCTGCAGCTGG